CCGGGACCCCGGCGCCGGCCGCGCTCACCCGATGACGTAGGCCAGGATGAGCAGCTGCACGGCGCGGTTCATGAGCCCCACTTTACGGCTGCGGATGAGCACGATGCGCGGCGTGTCGTACTCGAACAGGAAAGCCCGTAGCGCCGGGCAGCACCCCGCCATGACGCTCCCTGCCTCAGCGCCCTCGGTCCCGCTACCGGAGCCGTCGCCTCGTTCCCGCGCGGAGCTCCGCCCAGGCGGCCGCTCGGCGCGGAGGAGGGCCCGGAAGGGAGCGGCGCAGGCCTGGGACTCGGGGGAGGGCGTCACCTCTCCCCCTAGCACGACTGACCCCTCCGGAAGCCCGGGGGTGCGAGTGACCCTCTCATGGGCGATGGGACTCGCAGAAAAGGAGTAACCACCTCCTTAAGGATCAGTGACCCCCCTCAGGACGGCTGGGAAAAATAAGGGGCTCCCTGGGGAAGGGGGGGCCACCGAGGAGTGACCTCCCCTTTGGGAACGAGTTATCTCCACGAGAGGGGGCTCAATTCGGGGGCTCAGTAACGAGTGACACCCTGCCTTTAGGGGGCCTAAGAGGACCAGGGACTTCGTTGTAGGACTTGACTGTGCGGAACAGCCACATTTAGTTCAGGAGTGCAGACTTCTAACTTGTATAGAGTGTAAGGTGGATAGCCAAGGCAGTGCTGCTTTTTCAGTCTTGGGGGAGAAAGCCTAAACATCAGGTGCCCTAGGAGCACTGGGCTGCAGCTACACCCCTATAAAATGCCCCTTTTTGAGTTGAACCCTGGACACATTCCTACTCCAATTCAAGTAATTCCTTAGTTTGCAGCCCAGAGAAGGAAGCAGCCAAGGCTGGGGCTAGACCAGGTGTTTCTGTGGCCATCCTTTCTATGGAGAAAGTTTTATCACAACTTTAGGGAAAATTGGAACATAGTGGGAAAAGTCCAGTTTCGCCTCTTGGAACACAGTTTTCGATGTGTATATTTGTTCATTCTCTCTTTTTTTTTTTTTTGAGACAGAGCCTCAAGCTATCCCCCTGGGTAGAGTGCTATTGCATCACAGCTCACAGCAACCTCCAACTCCTGGGCTCAAGCGAGTCTCCTGCCTCCGCCTCCCAAGTAGCTGGGACCACAGGCGCCTGCCACAACACCTGGCCATTTTTGGGTTGCAGCCGGCATTGTTGTTTGGCAGGCCCAGGCTGGATTCAAACCTGCCACCTTAGGTATATGTGGCTGGCGCCTTAGCCACTTGAGCCACAGGCGCCGAGCCTGTTCATTCTCTTAAGATACGTTTTTATGGGTGAATTTTATGTTTAGTTTCACTGCTGCATTCTAAAACATTGATAAGCACATTCCTCATGCCAGCTATTGTCCAGTGAACAGAAAAACAAGCAAAACATCCTGTCTTCATGCAGTATAAATTCCAGTAGGTAAATGGTATGAAATTTTAGTTTGTAATTATAGTCAGTGGTTGTGCCTTTCATTTTCTGCTCCATGCTAGTTTTCCCTGTTACTGCAGACTCTTCATAATGATGATTTTTAGTTCATGGACTGTTTCTTCCACAGAATATGCCATGATTTCCCTAACTGCTCTCATCTGATTGCTTCTCAGTTGGTATATCCTATGCATAATCTTTGATACATTTTTAGTTCATTTTCTTGATGTGAGATCCCTAAGCCACACCAACTCATTTTTCCAAATATAAAAAAAGTGAATAATAAGAAAATTTGCAGAAAATAGGCAGCATCTGCCTCTAGAAATGTAATTCTTAACTTGGAGGAACGGAGATGCTACCTGCCTCAATCCAAAATGGTCCTGGGAAAAGGTGGTGGGTTTTACTTATTCATTTGACAGAAATTTTACTCACCTGCCCTGTGGTTGATGGATATGGAGGTGAATAGACAAAATCTTTGCCAAAATGGAGCTTGGTTCAACTGGAAGGGCTTAAATTCTACATAGAAAAGGAAAACACAGTTTGCTAAATCTTCATTGGAATGGGATTTTAAAATGCTTTTCCTTGGTTTGGTGCCCATAGTTCAGTGGTTAGGGCCACATACACCAAGGGTGGTAGGTTCAACCCCCGCCCGGCCCTGCCAAACAACAATGACAACTGCAACAAAAAATGGCAATATGTTGTGGCAGGCGTGTATAGTCCCAGCTACTTGGGAGGCTGAAGCAAGAGAATCGCTTATGCCCAAGAGTTGGAGGTTGCTGTAAGCTGTGACACAACGGCACTCTTCCGAGGGTGACATAGTGAGACTCTGTCTAAAAAAATAAAGTAAAATGCTTTTCCTTAAGAATCAAAACACATTTTCAGCCTTCATTAATACTCATTCCATAGCAACAAGTTAGTTCCAACCTTACACAAATCCTAAATTTGTGTGTTTTTCTTGAGTTTTCAAGTGAGATCACTTAAGAATAATGTAGAAATACACATTTTCATAAATTGCTAGTTGGTAGCAATTGTTGGACCTGACCAGAGAAGCTGATTCTGAAATATGTTTAGGAAAAGAAAGTTATTTCGTTTATGTTTTTGCCTTTGCTTTATCTTAAAAAAGAAAAAAAAGCTTTATTGAGCAGTAATTGATGTAGAATAAGCTGCACATATTTGAAGTACACAATTTGATAAGTTTGGCATATATGTACACTCATAAAACCATCACCATGATAAAGATAGTAAACATATGCATTGTCTAGCCAGAATAATTTTAGTATGTATAAAGTAAAAGTAACTACTGATTAATTTGGCTTTTCATATACACACATTTTTAAAAAATTTTTTTTTTGCAGTTTTTTTTGGCCGGGGCTGGGTTTGAACCCATCACCTCTGGCATATGGGGCTGGCGCCCTACTCCTTTAAGCCACAGGCACCACCCCATATACACACATCTTAATTATATTTAGTTGCTTTTTTGTTGCTGCATGCTTAACTGAGTATGGTCATTTATTGAGCAATCCTGGGAATGTAGTTTTAAAAGAAACAGGATTTTAATGAGGCCAAGATAATTCAGTGCAGAAAGTATAGTTTTCAACAAATGGTGTCAGAACAACTGTATATCCATTTGCAAAGTAGAATGAAGTTGAATTCCTACCTCCTGCCATATATAAAAACTCAAATTGATCAAAAACCTATGTAATTAAATACCAGAGTTAAAACTATAAATCTCTTTGATGAAAACATAGGTGCAGGGTGGTGCCCGTGGCTCAGTGAGTAGGGCGCCGGCGCCATATATTGAGGGTGGCAGGTGCAAACCTGGCCCTGGCCAAACTGCAACAAAAAATAGCTGGGCATTGTGGCAGGTGCCTGTAGTTCCAGCTACTCAGGAGGCTGAGGCAAGAGAATCACCTAAGCCCAAGAGCTGGAGGTTGCTGTAAGTTGTGACACCACGGCACTCTACCCAGGGCGACAAAGTGAGACTCTGTCTCTAAAAAAATAGAAAACATAGGTGCAGATCTTTGTGGCCCTCGATTAGGCAATGTTTTCTAGATATGACAAAGCACAGGGAATGAAAGAAAAAAAGATAAATTGGACTACCTCATCAAAACTTAAAACTTCTGTGTTTTGAAAGAACCACCAAGGAAGTGAAAACCCATAGAATGGGAAAAATATTTAAAAATTATATTCCTCATAGGGGTCTAGTGTCTTGAATATCTTAACAACTCTTACAATTTATCAATAAAATGATAAACCAATTTAAAAGTAGGCAAAAATGTTTGCGTAGATGTTTCTCCAAAGAAGATACACAGATGATCATTAAGCACAAGAAAAGATGCTTGATGTCATTAGTTGTTAGGGAAGTGCAAATTGGAATCACAATGAGACATCACTTCCTGTCCAAGAGAATGGCTATAATAAGAAAGATGGACAGTTAAGGATGTGGAGAAACTGAAACCCTAACATATTACTGGTGAGTATGGAAAATGGTGCTGCCACTTTAGAAAACATTTGGGCAATTCCTCAAAATGTTAAATATAGAATTATTATATGACCCAGCAATTCCACTCCTAGGTATAAGCTAAGAGATTTTAAAAGATAATGTTCATGCAAAAAATTGTACGTGAATGTTCATAACAGCATTCATAATAGCCAAAAAGTGAAAGTAATCTAAATGTCTACCAGCCAATAAACAAAATGTGGTCTATCCATACAAGGGAATATTATTCAGCCATAAAAAGAAACTAAATACTTATTACGTGTTACTACGGGTAGACCTTGAAAATATGCTGAGTGAAAAGTCAGACACAAAAGGTCACATATTTTATGATTCCTTTTTATAGGAAATGTTCAGAATCGGTAAATGCATAGAAGCTGAAAGTAGATTATTGTTTACCGGGGGGCCAGGGAAGGGAGGGATGGGAATGGGAAGTGACTGCTAATGAGTATGAGGTTTCCATCTGGGGTGATGAAAATGTTCTAGAAATTAAATAGTGGTGATAGTTGCAGAACCTGTGAATATACTAAAAATCATTGAATTGTACATTTTATTTTATTTTATTTTATTTTTTTGAGACAGAGCCTCAAGCTGTCCCCCTGGGTAGAATGCCGTGGCATTACAGCTCACAGCAACCTCCAACTCCTGGGCTCAAGCGAGTCTCCTGCCTCCGCCTCCCAAGTAGCTGGGACCACAGGCGCCTGCCACAACGCCGGCTAATTTTTTTGGTTGCAGCCGTCGTTGTTTGGCGGGTTCGGGCTGGGGATTGGAACCTGCCACCCTAGGTGTACGTGGCTGGCGCCTTAGCCGGTTGAGCTATAGGCGCCGAGCCGAATTGTACATTTTAAAAGAACAAATTTTATGGTGTTTGAATTATATCTCAATTATTTTAAAAAGGCAATAAACAACCAAGAACTCAGAAAAGTCAAAGTGTATGCCATAAGACCATGGGGCCAAACATCACGTTCTTTCTTTATAAAGGAGCACTTCAGGCCCTCAGCAGAACTTAGGTATTTTTATTTTAGATACAGTTCGAACAGTTTCAATTATGTGGTTTCTTTATTGCTTGGTAAGCCAGCTCATCATTACCTTCTTTCTCTTGGTTGTTCTTTCTCATAGAGGTGGTGCAGCAGCCAGTTTTATATTATGTGACCTTATCCTCCTGGCCAAAGTTGATTGGACCACAGGTAGGAACCTGACCTGAACCCAGCCAGACTGATTCTCTTTTGGTTTTGGCATTGGGATAGAGGCAGCTCTTTATTCTCTGCAGGTGACTGGAACTGAGTTGACATAA